AATTAAAGTTAGATGATCTATAAGCAGAGGAGAAATGGGTAGAATTTTTTTGTAATAACAATAAATCCCCATGCTTGGAAAAAATATGCGAGTATGTCTTCTCCTTACCTCATTCTAATGCCTCATCCGAGCGCATTTTTAGCCTGATGAGGACTGCCTGGAAAAAGGAGAGAAATCGGATTGCTTTAAATTAGAGGCCGAGCTAATGGTTAAACAAATTTATAATATGTCATGCCAGGAATTTTATAAATACCTCAATAAATACGGTAAACGTTTAGTTCCATTATTTAAATCTCAAATAAAATATAATTAACATTATAATATTTAATTTTCCATATTTTTTTTATATTTTATATAATCTTATTTATACATTCGCATAAATAAATATATTTTTTACATTGTAAATCAAAAATAGAGAATTACAATCTCCTTAAACAAGACATCAATGTCTATCGGTATTTTTAAAATATTTGAACATTTTAATATAGTTTTAGCAATGGCGTAATAAAATTTATTGTCAATTTTAACTGTAAAGATGAACACATCTGCAGCATAAATTTATGAATCTTTGTTAAGATTCTTCCGATTGCAACTGCACATTAACAGCATGTAATAGATTTTCCCACATGTTAAATCATTCCTAAATATACCTCTGCCATTCATTATTGAAAAAAATTTTCAAAATGTAAGGACAACTTTTATAATCTATATTTAAGAAATATTTTCTAAAGGTTTATAAAATTTTATAATTCTGTCGATGGCGGGTATTAGGAACATATCTCAACCAACATTGTGCTGACTCAATTCTGTAAATACACTCTGTTTTTACCAAATTCACTGAGGCATTATCAAATCAGAAAACTGACATGCAATTTATTGATAATCTCGAATCTGCTATATTTACCATTATATGGTTAGCTATGTCTTTGGATTTTTTACTATTTGTGGGGAAAAAATTTAATAGTTTTATTGAAACGACCTTAATTTTGTTGAAATAGCTGAGGATCAAGGGAAATATTTGAATATTTCCCTTATTAGATGCATCTGTTAGAATTGCATATGTATGCCCATCTTTCAAATCGTCAATAATTGACCTCCTGGATTTAGATACTAAAACATTGATGATATCCTTGCTCATTTTTGTTCTACAAATAAAGTTTTCATTTATCTTGGAGTTGTTAAATATTATGGGGAAAGATTCTACCTACATTGTAATGATAAGTAGCTCTATGAATTGTTCTATAAGATAAGTGATTACAATTGCCGCAACTGTAGTTGCATCTGTATTATTTCTTATTTTTGGAGTACCTTATTATGTATTTAAACGTGATACGTGATAATTAAGCGCCTATCCCTATAATGTTATACACACACACGGTAGATTTCTAATTGCGGTCTTGAGGGATATTCGCATAAAATATTGTAAAATTAAAATCGTAAGTTTTTTTATAAAATTTTATCTTTACATTCTTTTTATATTTAAAAAAGATCGTTGGTTTTTTTTTTATAAATTAATATATTTTAATAAATCAAGATGTTATTTTATTTTGAAAAATTTTACCGACTTTGAATTTATATAAACTAATTATAAAAAATAATTGGCGGATAATTAAGTCAATTGGCCCACAAAAATTTTTTTTTAGCAATTTTTATATTTCTACCGCAATTTTCATATTTCTCCCGCAAAATACTAAATTTTTCCCGCAATTTGAAATTTGACCTGGCAACCCTGCTCTTGAATATCCTGTCATGTTATCGCTGAATTTATATATATATAATTGGTGTTTGAGCTTAACGTTTTTTGCCATTTTTCAGTCTAGCATTGATTGATGAATCACTTTACACTCGACCTTGGTTCAAATCCAATGGGGAATTAGGCATTTCCGTGCAAAGTGGTTCATATATAGAGCATATAGGAGACGAGGGCATGATTTAGGATACGTTAAATATTAAACATGGATTTCAGAATTACAATAAAGTTTGGTCGTTTTTGGTAATTGCTATTTCAATGGTGAATTCATTAAAACTAAATATGAAATTATAGTATATTTTATTGAATTACATATTCTATATTTTTATTTGGGCGCTTAACCCTCTAGTATTGAAAAAACAGCGCTATTTTTTCCCACAATCCACCAAACTAGATATTTTATTTAGGAATGAAAAAAAAATGAGGAGCCCTTCACAGGTCTGTGGGCAAGCCGCACGTCCTTGTCGCTCTACAGTCGGAAAAATGTTTTTTAAAAGGCCATAGACGTAGGAAAATGAGTCGGGTAAAACAAAAACCTCGGGAATTTCAGTATAATTTAATTACTTTAGGGTGGGAGGTGTCTGATTTTAAGTTTTTGCCTTTGTGTAAGTCTTAAACTACCGATTGATAGTGAATTTAGATTTATCCTAAATGAATTAAATTTAATATATATTATTTAACTTTCATGTTCCTTTCCAATAAGTTCATAAAAACAAAATTATTTAAACTTATCATTTAAACAAATGAAGTGATACATTTGCAATGGAAAATGACCGATTGGTATTACATTTTTATAAATCCATTAAGCATTTTATATTTTCGTTTTTATCAATTTGGTGTGATAAATAAAAATGGGTGTAACTAAACTGAAAATTGACAGGTAAACTAAGAATAGAAAAGTAAAATTTATTTATGTCTTATCAATTGTATTTTAATATTAAAAATAAAAATAAAAGGTTTTTATTATATATCAAATTTATTCAAAATTATAATTATCTAAATAAATTAAATAGAATATATAAAAGAAAGTGTAGTATTTATAATATGCATAAAACAGATATTATATATAGAAGATATAAAACCATAATAAATTTTTTAGATATTAAAAAATTAGTTATTAATTAAAAATAATATAAATTATAGAAGCATAATTTTTTGCTCTGGAATAGTTTATTTGGTACAAACTTATATAATCAAAAAATAAAAATGATTTTAAGTTTCCATCATTATTTTTGGAGTTATGATGTCAATACTCAGTTTAGTTATTTTTTGGGGGATTTTAAAAATATTTTATTTTTTTGACTCATTTTATGTAAACTAACTTATATAAACATAAAATGGGAAAAATTTTAAGTTTCCTTTATTATATTTGGAGTTATGATGTCTATTCTCAGTTAGTCATTTTTTTTTTAGATTTTTGGGATTTTAAAAATATCTTATTTTTTAATTTATGATTATTATTGAATCAAAAAACTAGTCTACTTCAATTAAAATTTAGGAGCCATTAAAATGGCTGTTGGGTAATCATTGGTCTTAAAAACGACCATGGGGTATTCATTGGTCTTAAAATAACCGTTGGCTTGATAAATGTTAAATAAAAATATGATAATAAATTTTTAAACCAATTAGAAATAGCAATATTCCACAATATTAATTATAATATTTTAAAAATTAAGAAAATAGACACTCATTATAAAGTTTCATATGAAAATAAGTAGGTTTCTTTCTTGCTCATAATTAATCTTAAATATATTAATTATTTGTAAAAGCCAAGAGGATCGATAATTGTTAAAAATATATAAATTATTTTTTATAAATATAGGTATACAATTATATTTCGAGTACCGTATTATGTAATATTTACTAATTTTATTGTAAAATTGTTATCTTTTTAAAATTTAAAACTAATACACTTCCGTTTTTATATTTAATTCATACAACTAAAATTATTTAAAAATCTGCCACAGGTTCAACATAAATATGTAAGTCGGAGTTTAAGATAATCTAAATTAGTAATTAAATTAGACCCTTCATATTTAAATTTACCAAAGATACAAAATAATATAATAAAGAATGGTTATTTTTAAAATAGGATTAGTGAATAAGAAGTTTGGAATATGACATAAGTAAGAGCTGAATTCGATAGTTATAGTCCTTTATGGTAAAAATTATTAAATTGTGATAGATTGTAATCAGAAAATGGACAAATTAAATAAATTTTCCTATATTTTAAAAAATTGAATTATTATATTTTTAACAATTATAGATCCTCCTAGGTTTTAATTCATATTTTTAAGATTTGATTATTATATGTTTAACAATTATAGATACTCCTAGGTTTTAATTCATATTTTTAAGATTAATAATATTTTTATAAAAATTTATAATTAATTTATATTTATTATTTAAAATTATTTTAATAAGATTTGTGGAATATTGCTATTTCTAATTGGTTTAGGGATTGTATTATTATCTATTATCATATCTTTATTTAACATTTATGAAGAAGCTCTTTTTTAAAACATAAATATCCAACGGTACCAATGCCCTTAAATTTTAATTGGAGTAAACTAGTTTTCCGATTTAATAATAATTAAATTTTTACATTTATTTTAAATGAGTCAAAAAAAATAAAATATTTTGAAAATCCTAAAAATCTAAAAAAAAATTACAAAACAAAAAATTGACATCATAACTCCAAAAATAATAAAGGAAACTTAAAATTTTTTTCATTTTATGTTTATATAATAGTTTACACAAAATGAGTCAAAAAAATAAAATATTTTTTAAATCCCAAAAATCTAAAAAAAAATGACTAAACTGAGAATTGACATCATAACTCCAAAAATAATGATGGAAACTTAAATTTTTTTATATTATGATTATATAAGTTTGCCAAATAAACTCATCCCGAGCAAAAAATTATGCTCCTATGATTCATATTATTATTATTTTTTAAATTTAATTTTTAATCTAATACGCTATCTAACTTTAATTTATTTACGATTTATTAAATTTATTATATGGGTGTTATATTTTCTATATAATATATCTGCTCTATACATAATATAAATTTATGAACTACTCTTTCTTCCATGCTCTATTTTATTTATTTAGATAATTATAATTTTGGATAAATTTGATTTATACAATAAAAACATTTTATTATTATTTTTAAAATACAATTGATGGGTATAAAATAAAAATAAATTTTACCTGTCAATTCTCAGTTTACCTATTCTCATTTTACTTGTCTATTCTCAGTTTACTTGTCAATTCTCAGTTTAGTTACACCGATAAAAAGCGAGTTAAGCCGTTGTCCACTAAACAGATGTTTAAACCTTCAAGCTTATTAAAAAATATATATATCTATCAATCTATAAGATTCTACTCAAATAATAATTATCAACAGGATTCAAAATCTTATTTTGGTTTTAAATCGATGTCAGAATCTGAAAAATTTCAAAACGTTAATTCAGTTTTTAGTAAAGTAGCAAACAAATATGATATAATGAACGATTGTATGAGTTTAGGTATACATAGATTATGGAAAGAATATTTTGTAAAAGAATTAATGCCAATAGAAGGTGGTTCATATCTGGATGTTGCTGGTGGGACTGGGGATATAGCATTTAAAATGTTAAAATATATTAAAGAATCTCGAAGTGTCTTGAAAATTCCTAAAAATGATGCCACCAGTATTACCATATGTGATATCAACCCACATATGATTAAAAATGGTAAACAAAAATGTAAAAAAATATTTAATGAATTAGATCAAACTATATTCAAATGGGAAATTATGGATGCTGAAAACTTATCATTTGAAGATAACTCATTTGATTCATATACTATTTCATTTGGTATTAGAAATTGTGTACATATTGAGAAAGTACTGGAAGAAGCATATCGTGTTCTAAAACCAGGTGGCAGATTCTTATGTTTAGAATTTGGTAAAGTAAATCTACCTTTGATTAGAGATCTCTACAAAATATATTCATTTAATATTATTCCTGTTCTTGGGCATCTGATAGCAGGCGATTGGAATTCTTATCAATATTTGGTTGAAAGTATAGAAAAATTTCCTTCACAAGAGAAATTTAAAACAATGATTATTAATGCACAATTTTCTGATGTAACTTATAAAAATTTGAGCCTTGGAATTGCTGTAATAAGTTCAGGATTTAAAATATGATTAGGGGATATAGTATAATGTATGTAATCTCCTATAGATTTGATTTTGCGAATAAACAACAAGTAAATGTCATATAGAACATGTGAAAATATATGATATAGCTCCTAAATACCTAATGTAAAGTTAATTATAATGAAACTCAGATTGTTATCATATTTGCACTTGTACACAACAATAATCAAATGAATTAATTTGTAATTTTATAGAATAATTATAATATAATTACAATTCTTCAAATTTTATTCACTTCTTTTTTACCATTTTTATGTTTGAAACATTTATAAATTTTACTTGTTAAATATATAATAAAATAAGATAGGACATTTACAATCTCTAAATATTATACTTACAAATTTGATATGCTTTAACAATTGCAATTAAATTATATTGCACAGTGGAATCATTTATAATGTGAGCATGACTAAAATACGCGTCCCCGAAAACTACACGTCCCCATTCAAACGGGTTTATTTTATATAATATTAATAAAAAATCTTATTTAGATTTATAAGATGAGTTAAAAAATGTTTTTTATGATTGAAAAAAAAATGATAACTTAGTAAAATTTTTAAAAAATTATTTTTTTAAATTAAAAACTACGCGTCCCCAGTCAAGATACATTTTTTTTAAAAAAATAAAAGCAGATTCATATTTAGCTCATTAAATGGATATAGAAAATGTTTATTTTGATTTTAAAAAAAAGTGGTAACTTAGTAAAATTTTTAAAACACTAATTTTTTACATAAAAAAACTACGCGTCCCCGGTCAAGATAGATTATTTTTATAAAAATGAATATAGAATCGTGTATAGTTTTTTAAGGAGATTCCAAAAATGGTATTAATAATTTCGATTCTATATTCATTTTTATAAAAATAATCTATCTTGACCGGGGACGAGTATTTTAGTCAAAAAATGAAAAAAAAGTGTTTTTTCAAAATTTTACTAAGTTACCACTTTTTTTTTAAATCAAAAAAAACATTTTCTGTATCCATTTAATGAGCTAAATATGAATCTGCTTTTATTTTATTTTTTTTAAATGTATCTTGACCGGGGACGCGTAATTTTTTTATGTAAAAAATTAGTATTTTAAAAATTTTACTAAGTTACCACTTTTTTTTTAAATCAAAAAAAACATTTTCTATATCCATTTAATGAGCTAAATATGAATCTCCTTTTATTTTTTTAAAAAAAAATGTATCTTGACCGGGAACGCGTAGTTTTTAATTTAAAAAAATAATTTTTTAAAAATTTATCATTTTTTTTTTAAATCATAAAAAACATTTTCTATATTTATTTAATAAATATGAATCTGCTTTTATTTTTTTTTAAAAAAATGTATCTTGACCGGGGACGCGTAGTTTTTTGATGTAAAAAAATAATTTTTTAAAAAATTTACTAAGTTATCATTTTTTTTTAAAATCATAAAAAATATTTCTTAACTCATCTTATAAAGCTAAATAAGATTATTAATATTATATAAATTAAACCCGTTTGACCGGGGACGCGTAGTTTTCGGGGACGCGTATTTTAGTCATGCCCTATAATGTTTACTCTAAATAAGTATAGACTAGAAGCCTGCAATAAGCCAAATTTTAATATGAAAAGCCTACCAACCTTTGTTTAAAAAAATTTTAACATGCTCACTGACCTGCTCATTGTCTTATAATAAATTTGCTTATCTGCCCTCATTTTTTTTGAAAAATATATTTAACCTACCTGCCCAGTGCTAGAGTATTAAATTTAGGGTGGGCTATTCCTCTGAAAAAATAGTAGTCTGGTGAAAAAGGCAAGAAATAAAAACAAATTTTTGTTTTTCCATAGGCGAAGATTATTTGTTTTTTTTATAGTTGTATTTCATATATATATTATTACATTATAGTAAATATTTATTTAGAAAGTTATATGAATATTAAAATATTGAAAAAATATATATATTGCATAAAAATGATGTAATTTTTAGAATGCATATTATGATTACAATATAATATATGAATCGGAATAGATCAAAAAATGGTTAAAATAACTACAATATTTGCCATGATAATTTTTATAAAAAATATAATTTGCATATTTCCATGATTGGCTACCATTTGCAGATCTGTTACTTGTCAGGCACTTTTTAATAGATGAAACACTGACTGAGAAAAGGCCTGTTATGGTTAGCATCATTAAACTGAAAATATATTTTATCATAGGACTTGCACGCAAATCTGTCATAGTCACATTCATAATCGTACTCACATTCAAGTACCACAAGGGAATTTATCAATACAATTTGAAACTTAAATTTTCTTTCATTTCTATCAATCTATTCTCTCATCCCATTTCAAGACCCTAATCGAGATTTGATTCGCTTAATTTTTTTCACATAACTAATATGAGGGTCTGCTAGTAATTTATCTTTTTCTAAATATTCCATATCTAATAAGATAGCTAAAAGGATAAATCTATAATTTAATAAAGTATCGAAATTAGCGCCCATTAACTTATTTTTCATACTATTAATGTAGTAATGAAAAAAGTTTCGTAGATACCACTATGGCTTGCTTTCATTCAATATTTCTAATCCAAATTGATTCATTTCCCTATATTTGGTATATATTTAAATGATCTTTGATGGAACACTTATCGTTCGCTTTATTGATTTTTCAGATTTAGGTAAATTCATTCATTACCACGCCAGAAGTGCAATTTCATCACCCACCAGGAGTTATAGAGTGCACCATGTACATTCATTAGCATGGGCGTCGCTATCCTTTACAATTTCAGGGGGCTCAACTAAAAAAAAATTATGGGGGGCCTCACCCCCATGCCCTCTAATTTGCGCACTTTCGTCCCATTTTTGCCCTGACTTCGGCCGCGTTTTATATTATACATTTTTAAAATTTGTTAACTCTTAACAATTATTCTAAATTTCATATTTTGTCATTCATTATATTATGCATACAAAATAAACTGGCATATAAATAATTGAAACAATACAAGACAATTCTAAAAATAAATTTTTTAATACAAAATCTATTTATTACGGTAAATATTTTCAATTGCATATATAAAAAATTGTCTAAAGAATTACAAATGATAAAAAAGGTTAATTTATTCATACATATGCCTCGATTGATAATAGTTTTTAAAAACCACATAATGCAATAATATCATTTTTAGCAACTTACATTGACAATAGGTTACTAATAATACTTCTGTTACCATTTTAGACAAGGTTTTATAGAATGGACTAATAAGGAAAAATTAATAGGCCTAAACTTAATTAACAATTATTGAAGAAGAGATAAACGACCAATCCAAATCATAAAACTATATGGTTGTTAGAGCTTCCTCTTAGATGACATGATGGAAGCTTGATATAATCGAGAAAATTATTGTGAGATATTTAATTTCTAAAAGATTATCTTCCATTTTTTGATATATAAACGACTACAACACAGTTGACTATTATTGTTTATCTATAATATGCAATCATATGCTCTCAGCAGCTGGTGTAATAATCTTAAATTAGATAAACACAAATAATAGATACTGGTTAATTTGCAGTCATAGCCATGACACTCACAATGTACACTAATATCAGAATTTATTATGTTGGATAAATTGATAATATAAAAACACTAAAAATCTTTGGAAGAAATAATTATGCAAATATATTGAAGCCTTGAGTTATTTACACGGTAAGGTTGCCATATTAGAAATGAAACATTTTATACCTATAAAATAAGGACCAGAATAATATGATAAAACAATTAAGATTCTATATATTATTGTCGCACCACCTCTATTTGGTATATTGTATATCTTAAAATAATAGTAGTTTGTAATTATATCAAAATTATACTTGTATTAAAAATTTGACTCAAAACTGTTTTTCGAAAAAATAAAAATACCTATCCCACGTAAAAAAAGAGCTAGAAAAGATATCTAATTTATTACATCCATTGTTAGATAAATAATAAAATTTTAATTTTAAAATTATTTTAATCTAAATAGATGGCGTTAAATATTTGAGTGCAAATGTTCCAATATTTATTATCAAAAGCATTTATTAGTAAAATTATCATAATATTAACTGTAATATATTATATAACTGTCAAATACGTCTAAAAAGTGTCATTTTATCTAATTTTATTACCAACTGTATCATAGGCGTAGCCAGGATTTTCCTAGGGGGGGAATAAAAAATTATTGGGGGTTTTGCCCCCAGACCCCATTTGGGCGGGCCTCCAGATCCAATTTGAGGAGGCCTTCGGCCCGCTTTTCCCCGGCCTTCGACCGGGTTACCTTAGTCTAAATATAGTCATAAAATATTTTTACAAGATGGGATGATAATTTTAATAAAAAAAATAAGCCTGGAACAAATATGAAATATATTTTTTATATAAAATATAATAAATTACTTGTATATACATAAATATAAAAGCATGGTAATAATTTATTCAATACAAGTATAAGAATTTTATTTATAAAAAGTAAGTAGACATATAGTTGATATTCCGCTATTATATAGAATTAGTTACAAAATACTAGGTAAAATTTCACTTTTACAGACATATTTGAAGTTAGAGAATATAGTTAATATTTTAACAAACTTTACTAATCAATGCTCTTAATAATAAATTTAGCAACTATTTGCATTCAATTATTTAACGCCATCTATTTATTTTAAAAAATGATATTAAAAATTAATCTTCATATTATTCATCCCACAATGTCTTTAAAAGATATTTTCTGATGTCCTTATCAATATTTTATAGTTTTCTGTAAAATATATAATTCGCTATATTGGTTAAAATTACTTGATTGTCATATGATAATGGATAAAATTAAATATACTGTAAATCTACGACATATAATATGCCACTGTTTGTATTGTGATTTAATTTCTTTATTTAATTTATGATTTAATTTTATCAATTGTTTTATAATTTATTTTACTTTTATTAAGATAAATAAATTAAAATTACTCACTTTATAAAAAATCGTATTTGATATATTATATTATTTAGTATTTTTATGGATCTATTATTAATAATTATAATACATTTCACCTTTGTCTTATGACTTATCTTTGGCTTATATTCCATTTCTTAAAAAACAATTTTGGTTAACTATTATTATATATAAATGCTTTTTTCCAAAATGTATAAATTATGTTGAACAGTTTTTAAAAAAATATCAACTTTTACTTTCTTTCTTTCAAATTATTGTTTAAGATATCATTTTTGGGGTCAGGGAAACGGAGGAGGACTAAGGGGGATATTTTTTATTAGCTTAAAATGATTTTCACAAAAAGTGATAAATTTTTGAATGGGTGTGGGGGGGGGGGGGTTCCCTTGCCCCCCCCCCTTCCCAAGCTACGCCTATGCACTGTATATAATAGACCCCCCCCCCCCCGGCTACGCTTATGCACTGTATATAATAGAGGATTATAAACTATATGTCTATTTACTTATGCAAAGAATATGGGTGGTGACGATATGGTGCGAGGTTCGAGTCAGTAAAAATATATTTTATTAACTTTATTGACTAATTTCTTTTTCTTTTCTTAAGGTATTTATACGTTTTATAAAATATAAATTAGAATATAAAAAATAAAATAATATAAAAAAAAGTAAAGTTAAACCGAAAGTTATATAAATAAGGTTACGCAAAATAATAAGTAATATAAGTTGAATTACAAAAATAAAAAGTTAAGTTGAAAAGATAAATTTGAATTCATAAAATTGTAATATAAAAATAAAATTAGATTACAAAAATATATAATTATAATAACGCAACATTCTCCCTCTTCTGATAATTTCATCGGAGAAGTCATAGAGAGTTTGTTGTTCTAGAAGTTTTTCCCGTTTCGATTGTATTCGGTTTCTTCTTGGTTAGCGCATAAGTCTCAAATGTTCTCGTAGGTTTGATGAAATCGTTGAACGTTATCGTTAGCTTGATATCCTTATCGTATTTCTCATATTTCATAATTAATCCAGTCGAATATTGGAATTTGGAATAAATCGGAATATATAATTTGGAATAGTTGATCAAATCAAATATATGAATATGCACGAATAACATTTTGAATTTCGAAACAATAAAATATGTAATAAGGAATGATAATTTAAGGAATAAGGAATAAAATCCAAAATAAGGAATGATAAATGATTATTATATTATTTTTTAGGTGTTAAGTTAATCATAGCGTTTTATACTTTTAGCGTTTTACATTTTTTGCGTTTTACATTTTTTAGCGTTTCAATATTTAATTAGTAGCGTTTTAATATTTAATTTATTTATTTTTATTTATTTTCAATCTCCGAGGTTAAAATATGCAAATAAAATATTATTCACATTTCCCTCTCTTTAAATAAAAAATTTAAATTTAACACCCTAATTTTAATTCAAAAAAAAATTCTTCATAAGATAGTTTTGAAAATTCACCACATAATTTAAATATATTTTTCTAAAATGAATGTTTTTTTTTTTTGTCTTCAAAGCTTTTATTTTCAAAAACTTTTTATGTATTACTTATAAGGGTTATTTGAATCAATCATGTGATTTAAAAATTACATTTTAACATATTTAAAATTAAGTTTTAGGATTTTTAATATTTTTAATTATATTTAAGAATTCATCTTTAGGTTTATGTTAATTTACAACAATTGGTCATCATTCAAGAAATCAAAAAATATCAATATTATCCATTATGATTTTACATTTTAGTAATTTTAAAAATTTGCCTTTATCCTGGCATAAAATTTTAATTTATAATACTTCTTACGTGGATTAGAATAATAAGTAACCATCATTGGTCTCACAAAATAGAATTCATAACCTATCTATCATTCAACTTCCATATCAGTTCTTCCTAGGTTGTCACATTAGGTTAGGTGCTGGCTATTATATTCCAGTCCAACATCCAGAGCCGGGACACCATAAAGAAAGAAGCTTTTTGCATGAAAGAACGTACTAAGGTTTGATTCTTGGTCATCTCAGTAGTTTAGGTAGTCACAATAGATAAGGTAGTCATAACATCACAATAGATAAGGTAGTCATAATAGGTAGTCATCTCCATAGGTTAAGCACAAGGTAGAGTCATAATAGGTAGTCATCTCCATAGGTTAAGCACAAGGTAGAGTCATAATAGGTAGTCATCTCCATAGGTTAAGCAATCAACACAATAGGTAGTCATATAAATAGAGTCATCTCAATGGATTAAACAATCGTCACAATAGGTAGTCTAAATAGAGTCATCTCAATGGATTAAGCAATCATCACAATAGGTAGTCATATAAATAGAGTCATCTCAATGGATTAAGCAATCGTCATAGATTAGATGGTCATCTCAGCAGATTAGGTAGTCATCTTTTTCTAGTCCACCACCCAAAAGGGCACCATGCAAAGAATATGGTTGGTGACGATATTGCGCGAGGTTCGAGTCAGTAAAAATATATTTTATTAACTTTATTGACTAATTTCTTTTTCTTTTCTTAAGGTATTTATACGTTTTATAAAATATAAATTAGAATATAAAAAATAAAATAATATAAAAAAAAGTAAAGTTAAACCGAAAGTTATATAAATAAGGTTACGCAAAATAATAAGTAATATAAGTTGAATTACAAAAATAAAAAGTTAAGTTGAAAAGATAAATTTGAATTCATAAAATGTAATATAAAAATAAAATTAGATTACAAAAATATATAATTATAATAACGCAACAACTTACCTTAAATAAAGAAATCTATTATACTTATTTGGACCTTGAAAATATTTTTAGGATTAGGCATGATAATTTAATTTAAAAATAAATATACAGTTGATTAGCCATTTTGAACTCGGCTAATTACAATATTAAATTTGTTAGTTTTCAATTAATAAATGATTATATTTATTTAATTAAGGTTATATAATTATTTTAATAATAATAGTCAATTAAGCCTCAACTGTTAATGCTAAATTAATACTGAGTGATATTGATATTCTATTTTTAATACAGAATTTGATTGCAAGCTGAATAATGAAAATTTAATTTATGTGTATTAATTAATCTAATCTAATCTAATATTTAAAATATTATTAATATAAAAATTTAGACAGTCTTAATAATTTTTAAATAATAAAATTAAATCTATATTTTACTTAATAGTATTATAAAAGAAATCTTTCAGGGGACAATCAAAAAATATTATTTTTAGTTCAAGGGGTTAAGATTCCATTAAAAAAAAATTTTTGCTTCAGGGGGCTATTCAAATTTTTCAAGGGGCTCGAGCCCCTGCGCGCTTTCACCCCCCCTAGAGACGCCACTGATTTTATCCCTGCCTTCTCTAAAATTTTTCCCTACTACAAAATTAACTCCATCAAAATAAGCATGAAGATATGGGAAAGCCAAATCAACACTCCCCCCTTACCCTTTCCCTACCCTAACAGCCCAATTTATTATTTTTTTCAAATGTCAATATTGCGTTGATAATTACCTACTCCTTTTCCCTCTCCCCAATAAGAGGTGAGTATAGGGGGTCGGAATCACCCCTGCAATTGTTTTCAGAAAGAAAATTCAAAAATAATATAATTCAAATTTTTTTTAAAAAAAAGTATAAAAATCTAACCCTCCTCCCTTTCTTTTAAAAAAAATCTTGACAAAGCGTTTAATTTTTTTATTGTCTTTTTTAAAAAAAATTATGATTGACAAAACTATAAGTGCCCATTTACTTATTTTCTATTTATGCTAACATTTTTACTAAAATCTAATATTCACACGACGAATTGGCATGCCAAGGTATATCGTTTTATTAAACCAGATTTGCCCCAATGGAAGCTAATAAGTCATATACTTATTCTATAAATAACATTTTATTTATATTAGATGAATCAAAATTACAGATTGATCATGTTGATAATTCTACTATTCGAAAACCTTATTTAGATAGTCAAAATATTAAAGAGTTTTATATCTTTAAAAAATATTTTTTATTATTTTTTTAAATAGTGTTAACAATATTGTTAAAAAAATACTCTCAATTGAATATGGAAAAGAGGTATTTTTTTAAATATAATTTTAATTTATAATAATAGAGAGATAAATTTAAAATATACATGGATGAAACCATATCAAAAGTTCAAAGGCATCATAATGATTATAATTCTTTAGAAGTTCAAAGTTATATATTATTTTAATGAATCCTAAATTTTATAAAGTTGCAATTTTAACTGCAAAGATCAGAAGAGCTATGCAACATATGGAAAAATTACCTTATGTAAATTTAATTTTATAAACTGACATTTGACTAATTATTAAGCTGACAATTTGATTAATTATTTTTATAAAATGACTAATGATAGCTTACAAGATTAAAGATCTATGATTTGGCTAAAATTAATCTATTAAATTTGAAAAACATGTTATTTCTGGTATTGAATGGTAACAGCTAGAGTAGTGTTGTTAAAAGTTACTTTTGAAATATAACTCACTACTAACTAGTTATGCTTGGAAAAATATAACACTGTAACTAGTTATATTTTTAAAGTAATTACATCACAATTTACTTTCTAAATCATTTATATAATGCATCATTTTTTTTTATTTAATATTAAAATATTTACGATTTATTTTAATCAATGGTATTTTAACCCTTTTGTGTCCTACTTTTTTTCCCTCATTGGTAATTTTTTTTTTAAGGGATATTAATTATAGATACAAATAACACATTTTAATCAAAAAAATTATTTAATTATTTCTAACAAAAGATATTCAATTGTCATCAATGGGCAAAATGCAAGTTCATTTAAAAAATATATTATTTCATATGAAATGACAAACAATTTAGTTTATTATTTAAACATAAATAGTATTACATTTTTTGCAAATAACTTGAATATTCTTCTACACAATATTTGCACCTCTGCTTGGGAATGGAAATGACCTATTTGGTCATATTTGATATGGGTGCCTTATAGATGGCTTTTCTTCTTTTTACAACTATGCTGGAAGATCTTTAGTTATTATCCTTTCCCACTAGCATTAACTCTTTTGCTATCTGTGATTTAAATATGTCATAAATTATATATTATTGTGGGTATTTCTACATTTACAAAGACTATCTGAAACAGAACATTGCTTTATTTGATTGTAAAGTTGTATATACTAGCAGGATTGGGCAGTATCGCGGATATTTTTTAAAATGTTGGAAAGTATCTTGTATCCAGTATCTAAGATACATATTATTTAAAAGTATTTGTATCTTAACCAACTTTGTATTCAAAAAGATACAGATACTTTAAAAAAAATATATATTGGTTAATTTAAATAGTATTAAAATTTAAAATTATATTGTTTTAAGATTTAAATAAAAAATTTAATCAAAATATAGATATTTTAAGATAATTTTTGATATATGACGTTGGTCGTCATATAGCAATTTGCTTACAATTAGAACTACCATATTTGAATCGTTTTATATCTGTCTATTTTAAAATTATGAAGAAGAAAATAGAATAATACTTCGTCTTCAGATGATTCTTCAACCAAAAATTATAACAATAAATTTAAACTAAGCATACTTAATGGCAAATTTTTTGAAGTACTTCAAGATGATCATATTAAAGAAATTCATCGTGACTTTGGTATTGACGAAAAAGTTATAGCAACTGTTACAGATAATGGCTCTAACTTTAAGAAAGCTTTCAAGGAGTTTGGATATTCTATGAAAGCTGTAGAGAATGACTTTTACTTCAATGATGATGAATGTATAGAATTCGAAATCATTGAAAGTATTATTTAATACTTCTTTAAAATTTATTATGATATTGTAAATTTAGTAAAATTTTTTATTCAAATAAAATTATTTATTTGTTTATTTAAGGGTCTAAAGAAGCCTCAATAACATTGCCTCAACACATTCGTTGTTTGTGCCATACGATAAGTCTAATTGCCACAACAGATGTCGAGAGAGTTATTAAGGATTCTCCTAACATTTCTAAAATTCATCATCCTGCAATAGCTAAATGTACTAAGCTATGAAATGCAAATAATAGGCCTAAAACTGCAGAACTTATCAAAGCAGTTTTCTAGATGGAATAGTTTGTATGATAGTCTTCATAGTTTATTAAAATTTAAAAGCGAACTTCCTAAATTATGTCAAAAATTAGAATTTCCTAAATTAAGAGATATTGAAATTCAATATTTAGAAGAATATTGCAATATAATGGCCCCATTGGCTATAGCGATTGACAAAATACAGAGTGAAATCAACTGCTATTATGGAGAATCAGCTCCAATTTTGTAAGTCGTTAAAAAAAAATTAAAAATTTAATTCAAACCATTCTACAATTTTGCAAACCATTAGCTATTGCCATAGAAAATTATTTAAATAAAAGTTTTAAAAATATATATGATTTTGATAACAATTTTAAAAGTGCATTTTTGGCAACTATTTCTCATCCCTATTTTAAAAATCGTTGGATTAATGGTGAAAAAGAAAAAAAATACCTTCATTACTTTTGCCTTAAAAGTACCACATTTAATTCTAATAATTCAATAAATTATATTGAAATAGAGGTCCTAAATTATATGAAAGATGACAGGCGGAGTATAAATATGTTAAATAATTATAAATATATAAAAGATATTTATTAAATATAACACAATATTACCCTCCTCAGCCCCCGTTGAAAGATTATTTAGCTTTGCTAATATGGTTAATAGACCAAATCGTCAAAGATTGGACGATAAATCATTTGAAAAATTAATAATATTAAAAAATAATGCTGATTTATTATTATTTACTAATTATATAATTATTAAATGGAATATCGCATTATCTTTTATAATAAATTTGTTATTTTCTACTTTAAATATTTTTTTATAAATTTATATTATAGATAAGAAAATAAAGCTTTATACATTTTGATTTTGACTATTAAAGTTTTTTAAAAAAGTATCTTGTATCTTAGATACTTTTTTTAAAAAAAATACAAGTATCTTGTATCTTATATCTTAATGAAATTTTTCTAAAGTATCTTGTATCTTAAATACAAAATTTTATAAAGTATCTGTATCCGAATACAATTTTCTGAAAATTTGCCCAACCCTGTATACTAGTAATGGAATTATTTTCGATACCAAATATCTCTATTTTAAGAATTGATTATCTATGAAGAGACATATATAATTTGTGGTTTTTTTGAAGGTATAATTTCTGACATGAAGAATGATATTCCTACTAATATAAACATGATTTTATCACATGAGTACACTTTCCCTGGTATATTTCAAAATCAGATATAAACCTGGAAGAGCCACATAAAGCAAACATTTTTATACCCCATTTATAAGGCTTTGATTTAATGTATTGCCTTAATTTAGAACATCCCTTGAAGGAAATTATAAATTTGTCTACAGCTAGCTTCTCTTCAAGTTGAATTTTTAATAATTTGTTTTATCCTTTATCTTCCCTATTTACCATGTCTTTGTTATTAATATGGAAAATTTTTGAATAGAAACAATTGCGGGACATAGTTTATGATACTTGTGGAATAGTTGTTTCAACTGAACATTACTGTCGTATAGAAGGTATCTTAACTAAGCTACTATATATGTGTATCCCAATAAAATTTTCAATTTCTACCTATCTTTATTTATAGATTTACCACACCATTGGAAGGAATAAATAGTTATTTTCAATACAAAATTCCTAATTATATTGTTGCCCAAAAATTTACGAAAATAGGTAAGAGGAGTTGAATCCTGTTCAGGAATTTTCAACATTGGGATAAAATCTGTATTCATGTTTCCGATGTCTTTTTTAGACCTAAAGAGAGTTGTCTTTTATTTTAGTTATAGAAGTATCTTCAATTATATCCTCCAATTCTAGACCTAGTTCATTAATAATATAAGATGATGTCAGTAAACCATCTATCAGCAAAGGATAATAATTGTCTTCTTCGTCTCAACTTTCTATTTCAGCCTCAGATATATAACCCTCAGAGATAAGTGTAGTCATCTAAATGCATATTGATATAAAAAGCTCATATTACATGTTAATAATTATATAAAATATCAAATTAGAACCCCAAAAAAACTCACTAATTGATATTAGATAATCAATATAGATAACTTGTCGTTCTAGAATTGGAGTGCTCCACTCGATATTTTCAAAATTTTTGAATTAGAAGTGGATAATAACTTATTTATTCCCAATATATTATAAAAATAAAAACTAGATTATATAATATTAATTTTTGTCAAAGTATAGCTCTGTCAAAATTGATCAATAAGCTTTTCCCCTATTTGGTTTTAAACTTTACTGTTGATTTTCTTATTTTAAACATTTGCGTAAGTGGAGCACTCCAATTCTAGGCCGACGCTATTACCAAAATGTAATCTGATCTAATTAAACCCACCCTCGCCGTTTCGATAACCCTAAATAACTTACCTAAAATTTCCATTTATTGATAAAAATATTTTAGTACATAAGAAATTACCACTGATGCAAAATGGCATTTAGCTTAAAATCCAGCACCTAAAATGATTAAAAAGATGATAATTTTTAAATAAAAATATTAATATATATTAATAAAATTATTACTTATATTTTTAGCAAGATTTAATAACCAGAATTATGAATTAAAATTTTGGCGCAAAAATTGATTTTTTGATAACTATAATATGATACCATTTATTTATATAAAATATAATTCTACTGAAATAAAATCCGGAGCATGGAATATCTTTGCACCAAAATAAAATATAGAATATTCATATTAGCACTGATTTATTTTTATAAAAATCAGGCTAAGTAAATTTTTTATTTATCTTTAACAATAGTCTATTTTAAATTTCTATCTAAGCCCCCTAGACTCAGCATATGTTCTAAGAGATCATTTACTGTAAGGATAACATTATATTTAAAAATTGATAATTTAATCTCTTTTTAATTAGTTCAGATGATTGCCTGGACTTATTTTGTAAATTCCACAGAGGTTGGCTTTTTGATATGGCAATGGTTTCTTAATAATGATTTCTTTAAAAAGATCTTGTTGGCATCTTGAGTTTCTACTAAATTTAACGTATAACAAGAACATATTCAATGGCAGGAAGGTTGACAAACTCATTTTAATTATTAAGTTAGTTTAATGTAATTGATGGTTCAATATAATATTTTGCTACAAAAATCTTGTTATATGTATATCTAACTAGTACAATTATACTATTTAAGACAAGTTAGGTAAAAAATAATCTTACAAAGATGTGTTCCCAGCTTGGCTGTGGATGATTTAGATGTTGAAATATACCTTTTTTCTAAAGACATAGGAGTATTGTTGTTAAACCCAGATTTGGGTCTACTTTTAAAAACAGCCCGATTAAGATTTTACTCTAGAGAATTTGCTCATAGATGGCAGAAAGGTTTGGATATATATTTTGTCAAATCTCGAGGTTTACATAATATTATTTTGACTAAAATCTTATCAAACCCTTTTTAAAAATCTACCCAAATCGGACCATTTGACAACACTAGATAAGAGCCGCTTAACAGGAATATTGCCTGTACTACCAATCTTCTTTATTTGAGATCCAAAATACTTTTTAAAGCTTGGTCTTGTATTTTAATTTCTACAAGTTTTATTAATACTTGTAGAAAGGGATGTTACAATTAGAAATGGCTAAGCCGAGTCGACTAAATGAGCCGCATTGATCGGCTCGTGTAGTAGGCTCTCTTAGTTGGCTTGTGTAGTAGGCTCTCTTAGTTGGCTTGTGTAGTCGACGCATGAAGTCGGCTCGCTGAGTCTGCTCAATTTTTTTGTTTTTTTTATAAATCTGATCATCACTATACTGTATATAAATAAGAGGAAGATTTTCTTCCATTTCTGGGAATACTTGCCTCAAGATCTCTCCATAAACGCTCAATATGTTAAATATAGGTCGATATATCATTTGGGTTAATATTTTTTAAGGCTGTGCTGATATTAAATATCGGATCGGGCCGATATCTGTAAAAACCCGATCCGATCTTTTTACTTTTCTTTTTTTTGTTATTTTAATTAATGTTATTTATATTTATTTTACATTATATTTTCTAAATAATTTTTTTAAATTTTATTTATTTTTTAAAATAGATTTATAGTATTTTAAAAGTTTTTTTTTTATAAAAATAGAAAGGAACACCCACAGTTTTATTTATTTTAACTCTTTTTAAATAACACCAATTTTTTTATTTATATATCTGAATTATGGATATATTTTACCAAAGACAAAGATAATTTTGCAAAATGCGTTATCTGCGGAATTATCTGAGTCTGCCTTCAGTACGGTAGAAGATATAGATAGTCCATATCGTAGAAGCTTATTCCCAGAAAATCTGGAGGCTCTCATATTTATTAAAAAAATCTAATATATTATAATTTTATATATTAAATATTACAATTTTATAATTCATACCAACATAAAATGGATATATTATTAAATATATATTTTTTTATTATAGTCTTAATTGTAGAAATAAAAAAAATTTTTGCATAAAAATATTGATTTCATATTTACATTTGGTTCAAACGGGGGTGATTAAATCAGTATAAATATCGGATCGGTGAAAAATATGTGCATCGGCACAGCCCTAATATTTTTCCTACAATGATTGACTGAGTAATGATCATATCCATTTTCATTAAGATTTTTAGTTATACTTGAAAATTTTTAAATTTTAAGATTTATCAATATTTAATTTACCCCGAAAAAAGTATGTAATTCTTAAAACTTTGAATTATTATCACATTAAAAAATCTCCACCATCATGACTATCGCATATTTATTATTTAAAAAAAATATTAAAAATTTCCCCGAATTTCAATAAGTTACCATTTTATTTTATTATGAAATATTTTTGGCGCGAAAATTTTATTGCAATGTTTTAAAAATGTGAATGTTTATTTTTAAATATTTAAATTTGAAATAAAAGTTTTTGACTATTGATTTTTTCCTATCCATTATCTAGTTTTTAGATCTAACTCCATTATATATTGAAACATGGTACATTGGCAGTTGGCACTGTTTTTAATTGATAATTAATAAATATGAAATCACCTTTTTTATTTCTTTTTAAGCCATTGCAACTATATTTAAAATAATCTGTCTATTTAACATTTTTTTTTATAATAAGCATAAAAATTATAAATCATAAGAATTTTAACTTAATATTCAAAATCAAGATGACCAAATCACGGTCGTCTATTTTAAAAAAATAATTTCAGTTCGGGTTGTGTCATAACTAATTTTTATTAAAAATTCCGTGCTCGGTCTTGTTTATATCTTCAATATGATATCATTACATTTTGTCAAATAAGATTTTATAATTTTTGCAAGAAACAAGGCACTAATATTTTTTTACAATAAAAAAAAGTTAAATTTTTCTATATTTATATAAATTCGGGCAGGGCAACAAATAATTTTTATTTTGGGTAAGGCTTTTTGAGGCGAATAAAAAATATTTTATTTGGGATCGGGGCTTAAAAACATAGGCCTCATGCAGATCACTAATTCAAATTTAAAATCCAAATAACCTCCCTTTTTATATTCTTTCTACTTATTTCTTACAGCTCGGTTAGCTTATAAAATATATTTAGATATTGATGAAAAAACCTATCAAAATTATATCATAGTCGTACATTAACATCTAATTAAATATATTATCCATAAATATAATTTAATTTTCTCTCAACCATTATATAGGACAAATACTGTCGTTGGAAAACCCACTTAAAAATCGGTACTCGTCGAGACATGTTAACTCATTTGCGTAAAACGAATTTTGAAAGTTACCAAAACACTTGCGCCACCTTAGGCATAACTTGGCAAAAAACGGTTTACCCTCCACGAGAAACTTATTTCAACAAGGCTATAAGAGAGGCTAACGAAAGAGCTCGGGACATTATACACGACAAGATGCAAGGATACAAACAAGAGTTAGAGTCGAAGAGATCTGAATTTTTTGAAAGAAAAAACCGTATTTTGAACGAGCTGGAGAAAGTGGAACAAGAACTCGAAAATTTAGATGTGGTTGATTTTAACGTTTTAAGGGATAAAATGGGAAGAGAGGAAAAAACTAAAATAATCAAAACAATATCCTTATCTTGATAATTATGATTCTCAAAAATGCATTGTTAAGAAATTGTGTCGAATGTTTTAATATGGTCCAAAATTATATTATCATTAAAATATATAATGTTATATAAATTATAATCATAAAAATTTTGACAAATTATTAGCAGCTTGATCAATATCTCCATCACATTTTTTCAGTTCCTTAATGACTATTTCCCTTGAGAATCCCATATCTGTCAATGATTTAATAGCTAAAATATTCATGAAAAAAAATTAAAAGGAAAATTATTAACCATTTTCACTAGGCAACCTATTTACGGCCATTTTATCCAATTTAAGCGCTCCTTGTTTAATGTCTCCGACACAAATACCACCATCATCTAAGTCTAAATGCTGAGCAAACAGCGGGAGCTCACTTTCAGCCAAAAATGGTGTACTAACCCCGTAGGTAGTTATTTTAAGTAAGCTATCTTTGAGATCTATGACACATTGGTATCTCCTTAAAATGTCCAAGCCTAAGAGGACGTCCATGGGCTGATTTTCAAGGATGGAAAATGAACAAGCAATGTGAGCGTTTTCTATGACCATTTGAGTCAGGTGAATTCGGCCAATAATATTTTGCACACCGACGCCCTTAGCAATTCCTGCCCATCTTGTTTAAATAGATAAATTTTAATAACTATTTTAAAGCAATCGAAAAGTGATAAGTATATACCTCTAAATTACATGAATTTATAATATTTATAAAGTGCCTTTTGGAATTGTAAATAAGATTAATTAATATAATAGCAATACGCTATAGCTATGTCCTAAACCTGGGTTAAAAATTATTTTTGATATAGAAAAAATTAATTTATTATATCCAACGTTTCGATAACTTTAGTTTTCATTTTCTGGAAAATAAAATTTAGATTTAAAAAAAATGAAATTCTATTCATGATGATAATAATAATGATAAATATAAAGTAATAAGCTCTTCCATTCCCTAGGCATATTGTATCCATTTCCCCTGTAAAAATGGTTATTGTTTTGATATCTAAGTAAATTGTTTTCCTTGTCAAGGACAAGGCAATTATTGAAATTAATATGATTAGGATAAATAATTATGTGCTCCGCATGTGCATAGGCTTGAATATTGTTTTTTGTTTATATGATAAACATGCTCCTTTAATCACTTTTTGATTGTGCGACTAAATATGTTAGGATATTTAGAGTAAAACTAATTTTATCTATTTGATTAAACATTTATTTTTATAAATTTCCCATAAGAATGCACTATTAGGTAAAAATAAATTTTTAAAAAATCTGCTTTTAGGGGGTTTTCATTTATAAATTTATTTAAGCATTTAATTTAATTAAAAAAGGAACCTATCCTAAGCAAGTTCTGGCTTTGCCATATATAGGATTTACTATATATAATATTAAATTTAACTTAAGTTAAAAAAAAATACAATCTACCTATATTAGTTTTGTTAAAACACCCGATTTTTAAATAAAGGCCCATTTAAGATTTTAACCAAAATAATATTATATAAGCCTGGAGATTTTGCTTATAGATGATAGAAAGGTAGGACCTCTATTTGCCAAATCTCGAGGCTTACATAATATTATTTAGACAACAACCTTAATCAAACCGTTTATAAAATCGGACTTTTTAACAACACTAACCTATACTATTAAAGTTAAAAGTAATAGGTGCATTAACCTTTTATCAGCTAATCTCAATAAATTGCAACGTTCTGCACATTCTTTAGACATGAGCGTAGATTGTGCCCCCGTGTCAACAAAAGCTTTGATAGGTATGTCATTTACTTTGATATTTATGTACAACATGCTTACCTATGAAATATTTTAATTATTGATTAAATTACATATTATATTCGAGCAAGTTCATAAAATAATTCTCTTTAAAATAATTCTCTATAAAACCATTCTCTATAAAAAATTATTCTCTATATAAAACATTCTCTATAAAACATTTTCTATAAACTACATTCTCTATAACAATTCTCTATAAATGCTTCTCTATAATTGTTTTCTCTATAATGGTTTCTCTATAAAGACGTGGAACCATTAAAAATTACGAAAAAATTAATAAAATTCACGATAAAAATAATTTTAAAGAGAAAGTTAATTGATATCAATGGGCCCAATTTATTATGCCCGTGCCTGAAATTTTTGCTGAAAAAACATAGGACGAAACTCGGGGGTAAATTAAATTTCAGATCAGGGTGTGAGTTTTACTTATATAGCTAAATCTGCCAACCAGGTCCAATTAATTCCATTTTCAATTATTTCTATTTTTTTTTAAATATATCAAAAAATAACTGCATTAAATTTTGTAAAAAGATTCCACCAGAGACATTACCCAAAATGAAAACTTTCATTACTGGCTCATAGGAAGTGCTCTATCTCAGAACTTAGATTGAATGGCTTAGCCCCTTCTAAATATATATGTGGTAGTGACTAGGCTGTTGATAGGGGCTTTAAGAGCACACATGTGATTAAATTACATATTAAGTATTTAAAATAACTAAAATTTTCATTTCGTTAAATGTGCCAAAAAATTTCATTTCAAAATACATGCGTTATGTTAACAGCATGGCTTATTGCACGCAGCAGCCTCAAATTTTTAATACTTTGGTAAATATTATTTAACTAGTAATAATAAGGCATCTAATTCTAATTTTCAAAGTTTATAAAAGTTCCAAATATATATTCTACGTTTATACTCTGAATACAAGGAGAATGTTGAGAAGATGGTCATTGACTATATTTTAATATGATAGATATATTATGCAATTATTATTTAGATGATTCTCTATCCCAATTAGAGACTTGCAAAATCAGGAGAAATCTCAAAATATTTAATTAAATCTATTTTAATATTAAGCAATATTACAAAATATGGTATGAAAATGGGTAATAAATATTTACCACCTCCCAATTTTTTTGAAATTTTCTTAAATAATATTCAATCAGGAAGAAAAATATATGAAGGAAATATAACATTAATAGATATTACTGCCGGCCCAGGTGTGCAGGTGATAGTAAAAAATACTTAATTTTAAAAAAAGCTTCAATCTGCCCAAAAAATAAGATCAATATGTGTGATGATATGTAAAAATCCTTAAAGAGTATTTTTGCCCAAATGGGATATTCCTATTTATTTCATTATATTATATTGAAATATTTCATTAATAATTTATAATATGGAATAGAAATTTTTAAAAAATCTGCATTATTATACAAAGGGCCTATTGGACCTGGTCGGTAAGTAATGGTATGATATTCAGATCCTTGCTCTTTTGAAGAAAAAAAGTGTGAAGATTTTTTTGTAAAAAAAATTATGAGCAAAATAAAAAATGTTTTGTAAAAAAATCTTCCATGAATTTCCCCTTGATGTTCTTTTTTAAAAAGAATAAAAAAAAATTTGAGCATGCTCAAAAAGATTTTTTACAAAAAAAACATTTTTTATTTTGCTCAAAAATTTTCTTTGAGCGTGCTCAAAATTTTTTTTACGAAAAGATCTTCAATTTTTTTGGTCTACAATAATTTTTTGCTCAAAATTTTGAAAAATTCTTCAAATGTTCATTTGGAGATTTTGTTAAACCTTGATATTTGTCTGGGAGAAAGAAAGAATAAGGTAACTGTCTGTTAAAGACCGCCTTTATAAATTAAACAACGTTAATATTTTTATGGATAAAATTAAGCCATGGTCATTTTTAAGATGACTAAGACTTAAATGCTCATATTTTGGGAACCTTTTAAGAAATACACAGATAATTTTAACTATAAATAGAGCCCTGCGTTGATGATCTAGTTTGAATTAGAGGGAACTCAAATTTGTTGGACGTTAAGAACCAGTCTTCTTTTAAAATTTTCATTTAGGTTAGACTAAATTGCCACAAAATTTAGTATTTACTTTCTTAAATTATCTTCAAAACAATTAAATTACATTCTCTTTCTAATGATTAGTTTTTAAATTTATATTAAACAATGAAGGAAGGAAAATAATTATATTCTTCTTAATTCTGGAAGTAAATCAATTTCTTAATACTTAAAGAAAATAAAGATATTTTTTAAGTAAAAACGCCAAAATTTTTATTTTTCTTTGATACTTATTATAATTTTTTTGCTTTCCTTGAAAAATCGTATCTTTTATCAGTCCAAAATTTTTCCATGATTTTTTTTTGCAAATCAGACCAGAGATTTGAACAAATAGTCAGATCGGATGGTGGGATAAATGTTTTCTTGGATCAGGTCTAGTGTTGTTAAATTACCCATATTCCAAAAACGCTTAGCATAATATTTATCACATCAATCTTAAAGTTGAGACTCAAATTAGAGGTCGTAAGTTAATTTTTTAGGCTGTTTTAATAGGGTCCGACATTAAAAAAAAGAAGTTTAATGCAGGGCTCAAAATTTAAGTGGATATCGCTAACCCACCCTACTGAATTTAAAATAGGCAGCACATTGCCAGTAGCATTTTGGGAGTTTAAGAAAATTCCCACAATTCTACTTCATTTCTTGGCATGAATAAAATAATTAAACTAAGAATAGATCATTAATATATTCATACAATTCCAAAGCTCTCAGGAGTATGTTCTAAAGCAATTTCCATATTCACGTCAATGTTCTTTTGATGAATTAATTTAGCTATTTTTTCTTGCATTTCAGGATTTAGGGAATCTTCATTCATATACATCATGGATTGATGCTCATTAGATGAAAAGTGTTGCATGAACTCCTTTAAATTGAATATATATTAAGATATGCAATTAAAATAAGCATTTCTTTTAAAAAAATATTTCTAACTTGTATTAAGGAGTTAAACTTTTTCGAATCATTGTTTAATAGTGCCTCAACAATACCTGGATTTCTTTGTTGTAACATAGCTAATTCATTGGGATTATTCAAAAAATGTGTTTTCAATAGGTTAATAAAATTTGGATCAGAAATTTTAGATGTTGAAGCATTTGATATTTTGTAATTTGAGCTTGTTGAGGGTTTAGGCAATTGAATGTTTGAAAAATCTATTTCTGAAACTATATAGAAAAAAAGGTCAATTCTAAAACAATTTAGATTAGAGGCCTATAATGGGCGGGTTTTTAGTTTGGCAGCCTATTCGCACCCAAACTATAGGCATGTGTGAGTGGGTGGAGGTGGATAAAAATAATTTTCAGGCGAAATGAAAAGAACAAGTCCATATTTCTTAAAAATCATATTTTTATTTTATAATAATGAAATTTTATATTATAAGTTTAAGTAAAAATAGGTTAAAATAAATAAAGAACCAAACCTACTAATAAAATAAAGTCAAAAAATTGGGTGGACGGGTTAAGCAAATTTTTTGAATAAATGGGCAAAATTTTTTAAAACATTGGTGAAGTGGCTTTCAGGTTAAAACTCGCCGATTGCAGAGATCCAATTTGGATCATAGATTAGGGTTACAATCTGCTTAAAAGAGACATTTTTTTAAATATATTTTATATAATGTATTAAAATGAGTTTAAAAAATTTTAAATTCATAAAACTTACAAATCATATAATTTTTAATTCATATTTTTCATATGTAGATATTTTTCATAATATATTTAGCCTTTTCTCTAAAAATTTATAAAAATCTTTGTAAAACAATTTAAAATTGCATTGCGTGCATATAATTTCTTTTACAGATTCCTTGGATAATCTATTTCTCTTATTTATCTATTGATGATTGATTAAAGAAAAGCAGCGAAAATGAAATTTGCTATAATTAGCAGTTCACTAAGTTGTTCAGGGATTAGAATATCAGAGAAATATTTGTATTTTTGGTGAAGAGGAAGTTTTGTATATCAACACATCTCATTTTATTTGCAATAAACGATAAGGTAGCAAAATTGGTCGAACAATTTTGACTCATTTAAATAAGCATTTTCATTTATTAAAAGAATTATAAACTTTCTAAATCTATAAATCTTTCTAAATATGCCTATTTCGGAGCAAGCATGTTTAACTGCCATCCATTGGAAAAATTCCAATCCTTCTAGAGGTTCAGACTAACTATGGAACAAAATACTTACGATGTCTACATACCTGCATCTACTTATTTTTTTATTATTATTTGGTTCAAATATTACTATTGTGCCATTTCCAAACATAACGTTTTTTCAAAGCGGTTTTTGTGGCATGTTTCCAGTAATTATTTATTTTTTTCCAAACAGAGGATAATAATTTGCCGAATTATTATATCTTTTTAAAAATCATGGGTCGAGGTAAAAAATAAAACTAAATTGCATTAATGATTAAATGACATCTAAAATCACAAATAGTAACGTTTTTTTATAATATATATTAAAAAAATAAAGCCAACAATTTATTATCTATGGATATGAAAAAAAATTACCATTTTTTTCTTGCTGTTTTAACATTTTAATAACTGATTTATTTTCTTCCTAAACTTTATCGAATTCACAAATGTATATGAAGAGGAGAAAATACGTAAAAAAATTTAATGAAAAGTAATATGATGAAAAATAATTAGACAAACTAAACTTATTACTATTTTATTGTAAAAATACTTTTCCTGAAATAATGTGTAAAAATAAAATTATTTTTAAAAAAGACGACAAATTTAAATAAAATAAAAATAGATACTAAACATTTATTTAGAGATCTCAATAGAAGCCAAGTCCTCTTAAAGAAGGACGACTTGTAACTGTATCATAGATGATGTGATAACATACTCAGTACATTAATGGCATCATGTGGGCTTATTCAAAAATGAATACAAATAATATATTATTCGTAATTTACTATTCATAAGAATAAAAAATTAACATTTGATTTGAATTATCCAAGTAATTTTTTATTTAAATATATATAAACCATATTAAAGAAAATTTTAGTCGATTAAAAAAGAATGTGTCAAAATTATTAAACTAGATGGCATTATGGGTGATTCTTTTAATTTTAATAATTTCTATTTTCATATTTTATAATAAATAAGGATTATTTGTAATAAAAAAATTGACAAATTTTACATAGTATATAATATCACATCCTGAGATATATAATTGTAATTATATTTTTTTAAATAAATTATCATGATATCAACCAGAGGCATGGCAGGTAAAAATCAAAGTATTAGTATTACTGAAAGGAATTTATATGATCATGGCTAGGCAACTTGAGCAAAATATTTTTCTAGTCAGGGCAGTTTGTGCAATATTTTTTGATGCCAGGCCAAAAAATTATTAGCTAGAAAACTTTATAAAATTTTCAAAGACTGGTCTAATAAGTGCTCTGATCTAGTAACTTTTAATATTTTCTTTGTACCCTAATAATTTAGATTTAATATTGAAAGCATATCAAATAAAATACCATAGGTGTAAAAAAGGTATCACTATCCTTTGAAATCAAAAATATATACTTATAAAAGTATTGGTTGAAAATATATAAGATATTCTAAAACAAGCTTACAAAAATAGAAGTAAGATTATATATAATCATTGATACTTTCCCAATTCTTAATATTGGGAGAAAAAATATATAAAAAAGGAGATCAAATGAATAAATACTTGTATTTGGAAATTTTTTTTGTCTGTCTATCACAATAATAAGATCACAATTTTTAATACCTTTATCAGTCAATTTTGTTTGATTATTAATATTATCAAGTAAAATATTGTTATGCATCAACAAAACATTATCCCTTTGAATATCTAAAATATAATATTTGAGTATCAATAAAGAAAAAATACCTGTTTCCGATCCACACAGAATCTTGAATTCCCCAAATGTTATATCTTGATTACACTGAATAGATACATACCTTTCATAATCATTAGTTATCGTAATTTTCATATTACGATTCAAACTTTAAATATAAAGGTTTGTCGTCAATTGGTCAAATATTTATTTTTCTATTTTTTTTACGCATAATAAAACAAGCAACTGAACTTTCAATTTTAATTTCTGACAATTAAGAAGGTGTGATGGGGACGTTGCCTGATTAACTTAATCTGGATTGTAAATTATGTTATTTTGATAGATGGCAAAATATAATAAGCTCCAACACAAGCCCTAAAAAAATTTCTTTTTTTTTAAATTAAAATTCGATAGAACGCTGAAAGATGACTTTAAGCAACTTTTCATCAGGTTTTGATTATGGACATCGTGAACGTATTTCAGAAAAATACACATCCAGGTTTTATATTTTATGTTTATATAATCAATTTATTATCTTACAGTGTTTTAAATAAGAGTAAGTTAAAAGCTTGCTTATATTTGCATATCCTGTTATGGTTATTTATTTTATTAAAAAATATAGAATCATTACTTGATTATGTTGATATAAATTTTCCACCTATTGTAGAAATATATGCAAATAGAATTCCAAATCCTCAAATTTGGGAATATGCATTCTTATTATCAATAGTACCTACAATTTTTGCACTATTATCACTCTCGAGAAATAACAAATACTTATTGTGGTCATTTATCATTGGGCAGTCAGCTCTTGGTCTTTTACCTTTATTGGGCACAGCTATATTAAACATACCCTCTTTCAAAAAATATGTATATTATAGAATTAGCCCTAGGTTTTTTAATTTACCAAATATTATAATCTTATATATATTTATTAGTTTTTCATTACAAATTATAGTATTTTCTTTATATTTTTCTTTCAAATTGTTACAATTTTGGAAAAATAATACAAACAAGAAAATTATTTAAATATAACAATATAAATATGAGGCTTTAAATATATATATATATATGATTTTATTTTGGGATCCATTATAAAGTTTACACATTGAACAGGAACATTTAGCAAATTATTTTTTTTTATAAAACATTGTTGTAATTGGTGCAGTATTTTTATAATAAAGATAAATGCAAACTATTTTGTGGTTTTTTTAATATGAAATTAAATATTTACTAATATTGATTAAAATTTAGAATGAATTGTTTAAAAGGTGAAATCATTGTTTGAAGGCTATTCCCATATCCTTATTAGTATTTTTGGTCACAGCTTATAGCCACAATTATGACTAAAGAGGTAAATGAAAAATATTGTTAAAAAATTTACCCAAGGATAAGATTCCGCACTAATGATAAAAATGGCATGAGAAAGATTAAATTTTTTTAGATTATGACTAATTAGTAGTGCTGTAAACGTTACTACAAAAAGAACGCGTTACCGTTACTCATTACATCTGAAAGATGGAACGCATCACCGTTACTCGTTACATTTTACAAAAGGAACGCGCGTTACCTACTTTTCAAAAAAGTAACGGGCTACTCGTTACTTAAAAAAATTAAATGTTATATATAATGCAAAAAAAAAAATTTTTTCCCACAATATATAATAAAATAAAACTATACAAAAAGAACATATAAGATAAGATCTTTTTATAATAAAATTTTTATATATAATTATAATATGAATAAAATTATACAAATAATATATCTTTATGTAACAATTTTTTATTTATTTTTAACAACAATTGATTTTCAAAATTTTGATCAGATAAACATGAGCACTTAGTACTCAACACAGCTTTTGCCGTGCTAAACACACGTTCAATTGGCGCAGAGGATGGGAGAGTGGTGTTATATTTAATAAACAAAAATTTCAATTCAGGGAATTTATTAAAAATATTTAAGGAAATATCTTTATTTTGAAAAAAGCTTGAAAGATCATCTTCACAGAGATCTTCATTCATTTCCTGATCAAAAAATTTTTTATCATTATCTGAAAATATTCTAGTGTGTGTGTTGGATAAAGGAATCAATATTAATTCATTCTTTACCATCAAATGTTTTTTTAAGTTTGAGCTACTTGACATTGACGTTGAAATATTTGCGTTGGGGCATAATTTACATTTACAAAGTGTAGACTTGGTACCGTTAATTTTTAAAATATAATTCAGATTGGGGCCAGGGAAGGGTTAAATCTTCTTCATCTGAAGAAGTAAGTATTCTTTTAAAATAAATTAATTAATAATATCATTATATTTACTTTGAATTTTGATTGAATATTAATTTCGACTTATAAATTAACAACGAGAATTTTAAAAAAAATATATGGTTGATAGAATTAAAAATCGGCTTAAATTATTAATATTAAGAATTAAAAAATAAAAGTAATTTTATAATACAATAAAATATGTTTTTCTTTTTATTGATATTTTTTAAGAAAAATATAAAGTAACGTTTTGCGTTATCGTTACTCAAAAAAAGAAACGCGTTACAGTTACTCGTTGCCTTTAGATAAAAGTAACCAATGGCGTTCTTTTTCTTCAAAAAAAATAATGTCGTTACTACCGACGTTACTTTTTTGCCGTTACTTTACAGCACTACTAATTACCATAAAAATGGTATATAGTTTATTTAATAATGGTTATTGTCACTTTACTTTAATATTCAAATTTGGGAAATAAATAAAATAAATGGTATATTTATTTGTATAGAATACTATATTTTTAGTTGGCCATAAACCTAACCTAACCAAAAATATTATTGAATAAAAAATTATGAGAATGCAAGACCTAATTAACAAAATATCATTAGTCATCAATTAATAAGACATGATTTAGGGCTGATCTCTTGATATTTGTTAAATTTAATTCACAAACGCTTATCACCTATACTTAAGCAAAATTTAGCATCTTGGTTCTACATTTCGATGAAAGCTTTGTGCAAATTTTGTTTTATATTTAATTAATGATTGATTAAATTCACAAATATAAAATAATAAATTTGCTATCAAAATGATGTGTATAACTAAAATTCGCGCCCTCTATCAAAGAAGCTTAATTTAAATTATATTTATATCGTATTTAGCTTTATCATATGATTTAGAAAATGTTTTTTTAATTTAAAAAAAATGGCATAGTATAATTTTTTTACATGACTAAAAACGCTCTCTCAATAAATGTGCACTATTTATAATTATAAAAAATGAACGCGGAATCATATAGATTATTGAAAGGTTTCAGAATGTTAATATTATATTTTAAATTTTTTTATAACTTAGTGACCTTTTGAAAAAACATTTTTTTTGACTAAACTACTCGCTCTGTAAATATCGTTTTTTTTTAAAAAATGAAAGCAGAATCATACTTAGCTCATTAAAAGGATTTAGAAAATGTTAATATTAAGTTTATAAATATTTTATAACTTAGTGGGCTTTTGAAAAAACACTTTTTTATTTTGACTAAAATACGCGCTCTCGGTAAATATACATTATTTTTAAAAAATAAATGCAGAATCATGTTTAGCTTTTCAGGGAATTCAAAAAATGGTAGTATTCCAATGACATATATAATACCTAGACTGCGATTCATTCATTAAAATGCATTTTAAGCGTCGTTAAAAGCAAATCAGCTGGACCCGCCATTTACACATATAGTAATTATTCTCATGTTAAAAAATACTATTAAATTGATAACTTGCTTCCTTATTATCTCGATGATCCGATAATTCTTTAATAAAGTTTGCATCAGATATAGGAATAAATTAGGCACTCGTTTAAAATTTTAATAATGATTAGTGTAACCAAGATGGTGTCTCCAGCTGATTTGCATTGATGTACACTTTTAATGAATGAATCGACAGTCATATGTCATTGTAGTATTCATATTTTTTTTAAATTTAATTATAATATAATTTTTTTGACTAAAATACGAGCTCTCGGTAAATATACATTATATATTCTGAATCATGTTTAGCTTATCAATGAGATCTAGTCGTAGATATATGTCAGGTTAATTAAAATAGTATACAAAACATAATCAGGTGAAAAAAAAACATATAAAATGAAAATTTATATGTAGTTTTAATTGACAAATAAACCTGTAACTGTTAATTTAAGATTTTATATTTATTTTAAAATTTTATACAAGTTATTGCTAATAACTATGGAGCAAAATCTATATTTTTTATATATATTTTATCCAAAGATATTAAGATTTTATAATATCCGTGCAAAAATGAAAATATTTTTTAAAAAAATAATTTTTTAGAGTATGTATAGTGCTTTAAAATTTTAAGAAAATTTTGCATTTTATAGCATAATAACCGGAAGATGATAAAAAAAATTACATTTTCTAATTCATCGTAAAGGTAAAATATAAAATAAGTTCATTCGATAGTAGGTGATTGAACCTTTAAATTCGATTTATTGATAAAATATGTCATTCGTTAGAATGATATTTATTAGAATGACATTTATATAAATAAAATAGTTCGCGGAAACAATAAAACCTTTTTTTTACATATAATAACACTGGTTTTAAATTTATTTATCTGTTTTATTAAAATATTATTTTATATTTGACTTATCTAGATATTACTTTATTAAATAGCTTATAATTTAGAATAAAAATTAATATTTTTATAAATAATGTATTTACGATAAACGCCAACTTGTATTTTAATTCTATTTTATTTAAATATAATTATATAAATTTTAAACTATCAATTTATATTATTTTATTATTGAAGTATTTTAATTTTTATAACTTGTTTATATCGTATGAAAATGAATCTCATGTAAATTAAGAGAGTATATAACATTTTCTAAACCATCTTGAATCGCTAAATATCATATTAGTTGATAAATTATTTTAATCATGAAAATTTATGCGTTCCATGTCAATTAAGCGAAACTTTTATCGCCAAACACTTTTATCGCGAATGTCGTTTATCGCGGATGAATTTTATAGCGAAACCTTTAAAGTAAATACATTACAGCAAAAATTTTATCGCTAATCAATAATAGCGAAAATTTTATAAAATGAAGTCATTATCGCGAAACTTAAATTACAATATGGCGAAAAAAAACATTTGGTTGAAATCTTTCTATAAAACCTCTTTTAGTCTGGAAGAATGCGCATTTAAAAAAATATTAAGGCATATTAAATGTAAAAAAGAGATATTTTCCGCCTTTTGATTTATGGTTGTACATATACTCCTTGAAGTAAACAACATAGTTTTGCTAGAACAAAAATTGCATTCACAAGGTAAATACTTTATACCATTAAATTTTCACATCTTCAGAAAACGATGATAGTTGAAAAATTATCATCAATAGATTGTGAATATCATCATATAATTACATTTTTATTCTTTGTATTATTATAATTACATATTTATTATTCATATTATTATAAATTACATTTTTATTCTTTCTTTTAATAAAAAAAATGATCCTTTTATATATTTTTTAAAAAATAAATAAATCATAAAATAACCAATTATATAAAAAGAAAATGTTCATTTAAAATTGAATTTAACTTAATATCAAAAAATAAAATAAATTGATTTTAAAGTTAAGAAATAAACATAGATTGCAACGATAAAATAAAACGTTAATACGATAAAAAAATAAACTAAAAATATATTCGCCGAAAGGTGTAAAATAAAATAAAATTTTAAATCAACTTATTTAACAATAGTAATGTCCAATCACTATTATCGCCACTCTAATAAAATTTATGACATTCGCCAGATTAATAAAATATAGTAACCGAACTGAAATGGAAATATACTATAATTTGTTTTAAAAATAGCTAATTTTTAATAATATATGAGGCATGTTCAGGCGCGTACGCAGGAATTTGGTCTGGAGAGGGGGGGGATAATAAAATATTTTAAGAAATATTATTGTTAATTAAAAATATTAAGCATAAATTTTTTAGGACTAATAACTTTTCTAATACACAATTTTAAATGATGGTGAATTACAAAAAAATTATATATATAAACCGGCATTGAAAAACTAAAATATGTTGTGAATTATAAAATATAGAGTGAATATAACCACGATATGAATCACTTAAATGACCCAAAATTATAATT